AAGACGGGGGGATGTACTATGGAGCCATGGCCGTAGGATGACGGGGGGCTGTACTATGGAGCCATGGGCGTAGGAAGACGGGGGGTGTACTATGGAGCCATGGCCGTAGGATGACGGCGGCTTTACTGAGGAGCCATGGGCGTAGGAGGACGGGGGGCTGTGGTAGAGGTCCGACCAGGGCGGCAATTTTTTTGTTTTCTTGGGGGGGGGGTATTTTTGGTCTCCTGCAAGTACTAAAACTTTCTAAGACTTATTAATTTTTTTTTCAGTAGGCCTATTAATCGGACAGAAAAGCCGATTAGTTGCTGCAATCCTAGTAACAAGGTTAAATGTATGGAGGAGTCTTAGACTTAACGTTTAGTCAATACACGTGCCTCAAAATAAAGGGAGATTTTTTTTTTCTACATCCCGTTAGATGTCTAGAATAACAAGTTACCTGCCTTAAAAGTTTTGTAAAAACTACTGAGATTTGTCTCACTTTCTTAAGACATAAATCTAGAATAAAGATTTGAAGAAAATAAAACACAATCAATGGAATATCTTTGAGTTAAAGTACCATGTTTATTTACATCACTGTTGAGTTGAACTCAATATTAAATCCTGGAAATGATTCATTTTTGTCCCCCTTCCAAATCCAGAAAAATGGCAACCTCCAAAGAACACATTTAAATGTTAAAAATTGAAGAGTTCATTCTTGTAGCTTAACAACACAGCCATAAATGGAAGAGTTCATTCTTGTAGCTTAACAACACAGCCATAAATGGAAGAGTTCATTCTTGTAGCTTAACAACACAGCCATAAATGGAAGAGTTCATTCTTGTAGCTTAACAACACAGCCATAATTGGAAGAGTTCATTCGTGTAGCTTAACAACACAGCCATAAATGGAAGAGTTCATTCTTGTAGCTTAACAACACAGCCATAAATGGAAGAGTTCATTCTTGTAGCTTAACAACACAGCCATAAACTGAATCCAACTCTTAAAATTATGATAAATATTGTTACGGTTGAAAAGCTTGAGCACAACTGTCTTGTTGATAGGCGATATCAGCTGAGCTCAATTTGGCAGACAATCATAAGACAGAGAAAGAATTGGAATGTAAGACTAAATCTAAAGAGCTGGAAGCCGTGAAGAAGAAATTGTTTGAAGAACAGAAGAAAAGCAGAAAGTAAGTTGGAGTGAAAAATGTAACTTTCATCTTTTCAACATGTTATGTAGATCCCAGGGTTCAGGGAGGGATCTTACCTGTGTTATCTATGAGGGATAATACCTGGGTTATCTACAAGGGATTATAAGGGTTTTGTGTAAGTTGGTCTATGACTACGGGGGTATCTGTTCCTATTGGGGCACTTAAGACTGGGCGCTGGGTGGCAGAGCGGTCTAAACTGACTCAAACCAAATAGCTGGTGGTCTGGAGTTCAGTCCCCACCAAAGCCAACATCCCAAGCATCCAGGGTGAATGGGACTCGTTAGCCTCGGATGGCAACTCAACTAAGAGAATGCAAACTCTGATTTTAAACCAGGAGTCTGAATGATCAATAAATTGATTGTGGGCCTTCAAATATAAGAAGACTACTGGTGCACTTAAGTCTACTGGTGCACTTAAAGACTACTTGGGCTCCTAGGTCTACTGGTGCATGCACTTAAGACTACTTGGGTACCTAAGTCTACTGGTGCACTTCAGGTTAAGTCTAGTGGTGCACTAAGGACTAAGCACTACTTGGGCATCTAATTCTAATGGTGTACTAAAGTCTACTGGTGCACTTAAGACTACTGGAGCACTTAAGACTACAGGTATTTAAGTCATAAAGTTAAATTATTTGTTTCTTCTTCTTTTCAGACTCCAGGAAAAAAATAAGCTAATACTTCCTCTGCCACCAATTAATATCCGAACAGGTCCTTGTCCTGGTGCTAAATTTAGAGTGAATGCCCTACCCATCGCGTATGTCAAGCCGTCAAAGTGATGGGAGATTCAGGAATAGGACATTTTTATAGTTTATAGTGGTCAAATTCATGAACTTGAATTTCTTTTTGGCGACTCTTCAGAACAGTTTTAACAATGTCAAACTGAAAAAAACAGCAGAACTGGATGAAAATAATATGTCAAGGCAACATTGGAAAGGTCTAGTACAATTCAATTGTGTAATATACACATTAGAAAGGTCTACTAACACAATACTATTGTGTAACATACAAAATGACAAACTTATATGTGGATCAGAGAAATGTTCGCTCCTGATTGCTGAGTTCATCACGTACATACAGAGAAACAATAAACATAGAAAATATAATGTCAAAACTCTCTGTTGTCTATTGGATCAATGGTACAAAATAAAATGGTTGACCAATGAAGAAATTCTACTCTCAGATAAAATCAAAACCATTATAAAATATTTGATAAGAAATGCAGGTGGCTGTAGTTGGGAAAACACCCTCTACAGGACCATCAATAATCAATATATTACATACCTTATACATTGAATGGGGAGGGGACATGTCCTATGGGCGGGAAGGAAATGTCCTATGGGCAGGAAGGACATGTCCTATGGGTGGGAAGGAGTTCTCAGCAGAATTTGACAGCACAAAGTCTGCAACAATTATCCTGGTATTCTGACTGTCCATAAACAGCCAACTGTCATCAAAACAATGATTTTTGGTGTGTGTAATGTCTGGATGCCCCCCCCCCCCCAACCATATCTTATTTTTACAAATACAGAGATAAGACATTCAATTCAATTTTATAAACACTTTAAAAACAAAGATTTTTGGTGGTTTTAAAGTCTGGGTGCCCCCCCCCCCCCAACCATATCTTATTTTTACAAATACAGAGATAAGACATTCAATTCAATTTTATAAACACTTTATTTTGAACAATTAATTTTAATAGCTAAATATGCTTTGCCCCGTACTATATTCTGAAATCCTTAAACATATCCATACCGTGTCCACTATTTTCAGTGTGTACGTAGTTAGTTTTATCCTGAATTATTGACCCTTCTATTTTCTGGGTTTTTCTTAATTGGTTTAATTCAAAATTTGGCCTGCATTTTCTGCATTGACTGCATTGTCCTTTTTAAAAAAATTAGTTTGATTATTATTAGGAATATTCAAAAATGAGGATTTTTATAAATAGACCACAAAAAATAAATCAAGAAAAAATCTGCAAATCTTAGCATGTCTATTCAGACAAAGGACTGTGTCTATTCAGACCAAAGACCCAATCTAGTTTTGTAGTAATATAATAGCTCTAAATTTGCATTAGTTGTGTGTTTCATTAAGCTTTTGGGTACAAGTACAATGATATCCCTTATATTAACCTCAGCCCCTTATTTTAACCTCAGCTTAATTTGAACTGATCTTTAAACAAATACATTTCATCAATGACCCCAATGTTTGAGATACTCTTAAAAGACACTGCACAGACATTGCACAGACACTGCTCTACTTGAACTAAGTGAGCCTCATGAGCTGACATAGTTTTTGTGTCAATGAAAGGCATCCATCTGAGAACACATCTTCTACTCTCATAAAGATCAGCCCGACTTGATGGGACAAGCTGCAATTTTTAATTGAATCTAGTTACCTCTATTCTGCCAATCTAGTTTTTAGCCAGATAATCCAATTTAAGACAAACAATCCAATTTAAGGCACACAGTTAATTTGTGTTATGATAAAATTCAGAAACCGAATCATTTCCAACATATCTTTATCTTCCTTAGATCCGGTATCTGAATAAGTCAGGCTACTTACATTAACCTAACATTATACTTACATCAAAATAACATTATGTTAATTTTGGCCCGCTGTTAAAGTAACAACATTTTGAAAATAAGATTTCCAACACAACGTTATTATTTAAGTGAATACAACACACTGCTTATTAGGAAGAAGACGTTGTTACTTCAGTGAATACAAGAAAATACGTACTTGACCAAATAGTCATCCTTGAAATGGCACTCATTTGTCTTTTACTTAAGAATTTACATATTAGAATACAATACTGAAATTACAATACCTATTACATTACATATTCAGCAGTGGATATGGATTTAAAATCACGTTCAATTTTTTCCCCTTTTCTTTGGTTTCTTCGACGCTTGTCTTTGTTTCTTGGCTGGTGGCTCAGATGTCGTGACGTCTTCCTCTACTGCTGCTGCTTGTCTTTTATTTTCTTTGTGGGCATCTTCTCCCTGGCAAATATAGAAACAATAGAACATTCATTAATATATCAACAATTTAACATTAATTAATATATCAATAATAGAATATTCATTAAAGAGGCAATCTGATAGACATACGGTACAACACAAAATGAATGAATGTTGGAAAAATTCATAAAACACAATGCTAAACCGTTAATAGAAAATGAGTAGTTAGTCTTGGACAATAAAAATCTTTAGCTCATTGAGTAATAGGATTGAATGACAAATGCTACCTGGTTACCCTGGAACTCCCAAAATAGTTTGATATCTTTTGAGATGGTGAACTACTATTCTGAAATGATTCAGAATAGTACTTGACCATCTCAAATTCGTACAACACCATATGAGAATGGTAAAAAAATTAAACACACAATAAATACAATAACTGTTGGAGTCACGTTACCCATTTTTTTTGCAACTTCGATAGATTGAGATGGGGTGGGGAGACGGAAAACGAAGAGGCCGCCAAATTCACTCCAGTGAAAATGGGGTTTGGGGAGTAACCAGCCTAAAACACACAGGGGACATCCATGTTCTATGAATGCCAAAGTCTCCATTTTTGAAAGATTATCTAATATACTCCTCACCCCCTCTCCCCCCTGATTTAATGACTACTGCAAATTAAAAGACTGCATGTCATGACAAGACAGCGTCACCGAGTTAAAATGATGTCATGATAAATAGATATTTTACTTCACTGCCATCAGCCTGGTCCCCGTCTTCAGAGGGTCCATCGCTTTCTGCATCATCTTCAGACGATACTCCCTGGTCAACAGATGTGCTGACTGTCTCAGAGATAATACGGAAATCTCGTGATGTGGTCACTTTGACATGTTCCATCAGATTGACCTATAAAGATATGGGATTATAACAGATACTTTGACATGTTCCATCAGATTGACCTATAAAGATATGGGCCCGCAAAATAAAATTCTCAGAAGTTAGCACTAATACAGCCATTGTTTGGCGGGTTAGTTCTATAAATAATAAAATATTTACTTTGGACTTTTTGGTCAGTTGAATAAGAAACTTCTCCATCTGTTCTATGGCACAGATGAGGTTGGCCAGCATCTTGGCTTGCTTTATGGCCTTGACCTGAAAGAAATCCACTCATCAATGTAGAGATTTATTTTTGATATACCAGAATGCTTGGTACAATCCACTGGTTGGTACAATCCACTGGTTGGTACTAGCCACTGGTTGGTACTTTCCACTGTTTGGTACTTTCCACTGGTTGGTACTTTCCACTGGTTGGTACTATCCACTGTTTGGTACTTTCCACTGGTTGGTACTTTCCACTGGTTGGTACTATCCACTGGTTGGTACTATCCACTGGTTGGTACTTTCCACAATAAAATGATCTTACTATTGAGTTGTTTTTCTGGACCTCATATTTGGAGACTTTATGAAACAAAATAATTAAAATGCTTCTGGAATTATCAGAAGTTGATTGAAAGTTTAAGAAGAATGGGTAGCAGTGACAGGTTGATGAGATTGTTATACTTACAGCCCCAGTCTGTGGACCAGTTCCTTCTTTCTTTTTAACTTTCTCTTTTTTCTTACTCTCGAGAATTTCATCAGATTCTAAATTCTGCAGTGAAAAAAAGAAAAGAATTTTAATAATTGTTTCACCAGATCATAAACTACATTTTGTGGTTGCTAACAATAAACTAAATTCTGTGGTTGCTAAAAACTAAAAACGAACTACATTCTGTGGTTGCTAACAATAAACTAAATTCTGTGGTTGCTAACAATAAACTACATTCTGTGGTTGCTAACAATAAACTAAATTCTTTGGTTGCTAAAAATAAACTACATTCTGTGGTTGCTAACAATAAACTAAATGGAAGACTAACCTGCAGATAGATGATCATATTGTAAGTCTGTGGGGTGAGTTCTTTACCCACTAGCGACACCAGCTTCTCAAATCTACTGCCCAGATGACCCGCTTTGTTGGTGTACATGCTGATATACTGGTGACATAAAACAGAAACCTTATTGAACAGTTTGAGGACAGCTGATATACTATGGTCATCCAATGTCATTAAATTATCAGATGACCCGCTTTTGGTGTGTAAATACAAGTCATAGGACTCAGATGACTACTCATATACGGGAGAGATATGTCACTGGATTGTTTTATACATTTAAAACAAACATTTCAAATGAGATGTACAGTACATGCTGTTATGAAAAGGTAAAAAATATATGAGAGAAATTAGTGGATTTCACATATCATTACTGGGTTAAATACTTTCAGAGTTGAATTTAAATGTAAGACTATACTTAAAATGTAAAGCTATACATAGAATGTAAGACTATAATAAGAATTTAAAACTACAATTAAAATATAAGACTTAACTTAGGATGTCAGACTATACTAAGAATGTAAGACTACAATTAGAATGCAATGAATTGTAATACAAGTGCAGTATTGCTGGAATTAAATCCATTTAATTTTATCTAATGCAGTTTAATATATTTCAAAACTGTAAAAATAAATTTAAAGGATATTGGCATTAAATATTAGCAGTTGGCAGAAAATATTGGAAGTTGGCAGACACTTCTTCTAAATAAAAAATATTGATGTTCAGTATATTAGAAGTAGAGTATAAAAATTCTTTTTAAATCAGAGGAATAACTGTGAGTGGGGTGATTGGCTTAAATGTGACTGGGGTGATTGGCTAAATGGTGAGTGGGGTGAATGGCTAAATGGTGAGTGGGGTGAATGGCTTAATGGTGAGTGGGGTGATTGGCTTAATGGTGAGTGGGGTGATTGGCTTAATGGTGAGTGGGGTGATTGGCTTAATGGTGAGTGGGGTGATTGGCTTAATGGTGAGTGGGGTGATTGGCTTAATGGTGAGTGGGATGATTGGCTTAATGGTGAGTGGGGTCGTTGACTTAACGGTGAGTGGGGTGATTGGCTTAGTGGTAAGTGGGGTGATTGGCTTAGTGGTGAGTGGGGTGATTGGCTTCATGGTGAGTGGGATGATTGGCTTAGTGGTGAGTGGGGTGATTGGCTTAATGGTAAGTGGGGTGATTGGCTTAATGGTGACTGGGATGATTGGCTTAATGGTGAGTGGGGTGATTGGCTTAATGGTGACTGGGATGATTGGCTTAATGGTGAGTGGGGTGATTGGCTTAATGGTGACTGGGATGATTGGCTTAATGGTGAGTGGGATGATTGGCTTAATGGTGAGTGGGGTGATTGGCTTAATGGTGACTGGGATGATTGGCTTAATGGTGACTGGGATGATTGGCTTAATGGTGACTGGGATGATTGGCTTAATGGTGAGTGGGATGATTGGCTTAATGGTGAGTGGGATGATTGGCTTAATGGTGACTGGGATGATTGGCTTAATGGTGACTGGGATGATTGGCTTAATGGTGACTGGGATGATTGGCTTAATGGTGAGTGGGGTGATTGGCTTAATGGTGAGTGGGATGATTGGCTTAATGGTGACTGGGATGATTGGATTTTTCAATTTTCAATAGTAACGTTAATTTTAAATCATCACATGTGTACAACTAAAATAAATCACCACACGGGTACAACTAAATAAATCACCACACGTGTACAACTAAAATAAATCACCACACATGTACAACTGAAATAAATCACCACACGTGTACAACTAAAATAAATTACCACAGGTGTACAACTAAAATAAATCACCACACATGTAAAATTAAATCATCAAACGTGTACAACTGAAATAAATCACCCCATGTGTACAACTGAAATAAATCACCACATATGTACAACTAAAATAAATCACCACACGTGTACAACTGAAATAAATCACATGTACAACTGAAATAAATCACCACACGTGTACAACTAAAATAAATCAGAGTTGTAGGACTGAAATAAATCACCACACGTGTACAACTGTAAGTGTTTTCATGGCACAAATTTCCTTAGTACATCCTGCATCTGACAGTGTTTGGTTTACTAAAAATCTTTTATTACAAATACATGCGTCTCAATTACTTCATAAAAGTGTCACTCTACTGTAATTTAAATCTAAGGGTGAATATGTGCGTACATGTTTGGTCAAAGCCGTGAGAGTGTTGAAGAGTTTTGTCACAGCCTTGAGCAGCGCTTGTGAACACTGCTTGTTGCTGATTGCCGAGTGAGTCAGTTGTACAAAACTGATGACAAGCAATCCTAGTCTGGTACAAATTGATTTCTCAATGCTCTCAACTTGGGTTGCTGCTCCAGGTTCTGACACGAGGGAAACAAAAGGACAAATATCAATTGACAACAACATTGTATACAAAAATTATAACAAACTTTCATCATTGTATTTTAGGAAGACCCAAAGGGAGCATGGTTGTAATAATCTCTCTCAATGTTTCTCTATCAACAACCACATCTCTCAATGTTTCTATGTCAACAACCACATCTCTCAATGTTTCTCTATCACCAACCACATCTCTCAATGTTTCTCTATCAACAACCACATCTCTCAATGTTTCTCTATCAACAACCACATCTCTCAATGTTTCTATGTCAACAACCACATCTCTCAATGTTTCTATGTCAACAACCACATCTCTCAATGTTTCTCTATCAACAACCACATCTCTCAATGTGTCTATGTCAACAACCACATCTCTCAATGTTTCTTCTATGTCAACAACCACATCTATCAATGTTTCTCTGTCAGCAACCACATATATCAAAATTTCTACCATCACATTTACCCTAATGCACAATAACTTATTAGGACACTGACCTAATGACCCTAGGGTCACAAGAACTTATTAGGACACTGACCTCATGACCCTAGGATCACAATGACTTGTTAGGACACTGACCTCATGACCTATTTGGACACTGACTACAATGTCACAATGACCTGTTTGGACACTGACCTTGCTCTAAATGACCAGGGGATGCCAGCATGGATGCTTTGTGACATCCGATGACCCAGTCAATGTCATCAAGGTCATCCTCCAGGTAAGTGAGCACAAGTGTAACGACGCCAGTGGTGGGACAGTTGGAAGATTTTGTCACTGAGAAATTTGTGCGTTCATCAACCTCACAGTCCTGTTGGTCATCAAATCAATATCAAATAATAAACAATTTTAGTTTTCGTTATATCATTTAAGACAGTGCTTATAAAGGTTTTGTATGTGACGGACCTGAAACAAAGTGGACAATTTCTTACTGAACCGTCACATTCAAAACTTGTCCACATTGAAGCAGATAACATTGCCCTATTTATTGATCAAAGTCCTTTATGAACTTATTTTTCATGCTTTATAACTGGAAACTGAAAACTGGTGACAGACTGACACCTTTGTGACAGACTGACATCTTTGTGACAGACTGACACCTTTGTAAAACAATGATATTAAAAAAAAGCACCAATACAAAAAAACACATTATTTAAAGCTATGAGATGTTCACGCAAGTGTAGCCATGTTGTTTTATGTGTTCCTAATTAGTGTAGCCATGTTGTTATATTTGTTCCTATTTAGTGTAGCCATGTTGTTGAATTTGTTCCTATTTATTGCTCTGAGTGTAGCCATGCTATAAACATTTGATGGATAACAGTGTTATTTTAAATGTAACACCTGAAGGGTAACATCTGACTAGTGACTATAACATCTGACTAGTGACTATAACATCTGACTAGTGACTATAACATCTGACTAGTGACTATAACATCTGACTAGTGACTATAACATCTGACTAGTGACTATAACATCTGACTAGTGACTATAACATCTGACTAGTGACTATAACATCTGACTAGTGACTATAACATCTGACTATTAATTATAATATAACATCTGACTAGTGACTATAACATCTGACTAGTGACTATAACATCTGACTATTAATTATAATATAACATCTGACTAGTGACTATAACATCTGACTAGTGACTATAACATCTGACGAGTGACTATAATATAACATCTGACTAGTGACTATAACATCTGACTAGTGACTATAACATCTGACTAGTGACTATAACATCTGACGAGTGACTATAACATTTGACTAGTGACTATAACATTTGACTAGTGACTATAAAATCTGACTAGTGACTATAACATCTGACCAGCTCTATATCTCCCAGCTGACTATGGACATCCTGGCACAGAGTACGTAGCAGCTGTGGTAATGATTTCGTCTGCCTGCTAAGGTTTAGCAACAGCGACAAGATCTGACGACAAGTAGCTGCATCGTCTGGGGAACATGACAAAGTCAGAACAACATGTGAACCACAGAAACAATTAGATTTCCGCAAATGAAATATTTGACGCTGCAGACTGGAATACTTTGAAAGTTTTCATTTTTTAAAAAAAAGTTTTTGAACACAAAGTTGAGTCCTGAACATTTGTAAGTGACACCTGAATTTCCTGATTAATTCATGAACGCTGAACTTATATTTGCATGCACGCTATGGTGTTGACTCATGAATTAATTCTAAATGTCCTTAAACTTTTGTTGGTCAATATATTTGTCTCAGCATTCTAAAGCCTACCTCCCCCACACCCTCCCACCACACAACCTCCCCCCACCACACAACCTCTCCCCACCCTCCCACCACACAACCTCCCCCCACCACGACACCATCTCACCACACCCTGCCACCAAACCCCCCCAACATGTCCAATGTTTTAACTCTGACCTATTGTCTGCTCCGTGGCCACTTTATGTAGCCAGGTATGCACTTGTAGGTACTCTTGGCCTTGATTTGGTAGGTAGATGACCAGGTGGGCCATCACAGACAGAATAACAGACACATCCTTCATGTTCTGATGTTCTTTGTCTTCACTTAAAATAGTGGCCACCAAGCGCTGGAAGAAAAATTAGAGTCATGTCAAATGTGTTCATTTTTACTTACTTCCCTTGGAAATGTTCATATATAATTTAGGCTTGAATTTCAGTAAACATTTAGTCACAACTAACGTTTATGTGAAAAATTAAAGTAAAAATTAAGTTTCAACTAATGTTTATTTTAAAATTTAAAGTAAACGTTAAGTTCCGACTTATGTTTACTTACAATTTTTTTATAAAAAATTGGTACAGTACATGTCTATATTGTCTGGTTCCCTAGCATCGCGTGTACTCCCAGAATCGCAATGTGGTTTTCGCGCCGGTAGGTCAACCATAGACATGATCTTCTCTCTGCGCCAGCTGCAGGAGAAGTGCAGGGAGCAACATATGCCTTTATACATTGCGTTTGTCGACCTCACTAAGGCTTTTGATCTTGTCAGCAGAAGCGGCCTGTTTCAGATCCTCAAAAAGATAGGCTGCCCTACACGACTGCTTAACATCATCAAGCAGTTCCACGAAAACATGCAGGGCACAGTGTGCTATAACGGTGCCGCCTCAGAAGCTTTTCCAGTGAGTAGTGGAGTTAAGCAAGGTTGCGTGCTGGCTCCTACTTTATTTGCAATCTTTTTCTCCATCCTACTCCAGTATGCCTTTCAGAACAACAGCGAGGGGATATACATCCACACTAGAGATGACGGCAAATTATTCAACATTGCCCGCCTTAGAGCTAAGACTAAAACAAGAAAGGTCTTGCTGCGGGAGTTCTTGTTTGCGGACGATGCCGCTTTGGTATCTCATACAGCTTACGGCCTGCAGAGCCTCGTATCCAGCCTATCCGCTGCCTGCAAAGAGTTTGGCCTGACAATTAGCATAAAGAAAACTAACATTATGGCACAGGGCGCTGACTCCCTCCCAACTATCGCCATCGACGACTACGACTTGGATACTGTTGACAGATTCACATATCTGGGATCCAACATATCGAGCACCCTCTCAATGGAGGATGAGATAAGTGGGAGGATAGGGAAGGCCGCAACTGTTATGGCCAGACTGAAGAAAAGAGTCTGGTCAAATGCCAAACTCACAATAAGAACTAAGCTGCAGGTGTACCAGACCTGCGTACTGAGCACACTTCTGTATGGATGCGAGTCGTGGACCACATACTCTAAACACGAAAGAAGGCTCAATGGCTTCCACCTCAGATGCCTGCGCCACATCCTTGACATTAAATGGCAAGATAGAGTCCCCAACACGGATGTCCTGTCCCAAACAAACATGTGTAGCGTCCCAGCCATGTTAATCCAAAGACGCCTCCGCTGGCTTGGACACGTCAAGCGAATGCAATCTGGTTGCATACCAAAGGACGTGCTGTACAGCGAGCTGGCGACAGGGAAAAGGTCAGTTGGACGGCCTCGTCTGAGATACTTAGACATATGCAAAAGAGACATGAAGTCCTCTAACATCGACATCTCAAACTGGGAGGAGCTGGCAGAGGATCGATCCTCATGACGGGCCATCGTGAAGGCAGGATCACTACATGCCGAGGATCAAAACAGGGCGGAAACAGCTGCAAAAAGAGCGAGGAGGAAGGCTGGTAAATACTGCTCCACCGCATTCATGTATGGGATATGTAACAGAGACTGCCATTCGAGGATTGGTCTCACCAGCCACACCAAAAGCTGCAAGCTATAAAGATAATCTATCGTCTCCCGCAGACGGAAAGATGCCATACATTGTCTGGTTTCACTTTTCAAAAATTGCTAAGCCTCAGCTTGAGAACTATTAACTAATATCAGAGAACTATTAACTAATATCAGAGAACTATTAACTAATATCAGAGAACTATTAACTAATATCAGAGAACTATTAACTAATATCAGAGAACTATTAACTAATATCAGAGAACTATTAACTAATATCAGAGAACTATTAACTAATATCAGAGAACTATTAACTAATATCAGAGAACTATTAACTAATATCAGAGAACTATTAAGTAACTTATATCAGGGAAATAGTCACTGATAAATCAGAGAAATCAGAAGCAAATGTCCAGACCTGAAACTTCATGAGATGCTTGTGAATTTTCTCTATTTTATCCGATTCTTTCAAGCGCTCCTTTTCATTCCCAGGTTCCTTTTCTAATGAAAGAATAAATGTATAAATGCATTATTATTAACAAATGATAAGAAACAAATTTATTATGATGAACAAATGATAAGAAAGAAATGTATTATTATGAACAAACTATAAGAAAGAAATGAATTATTATGAATAAATGATAAGAAAGAAATGTATTATTATGAAGAAACTATAAGAAAGAAATACCTCTTCAAACATGAGGTATTTGTTTATGTTGGTTATGGAAATAAAGAAAGTTGAAAGGTTGAAGAAAGTATTTTTGATCTTATAGAGAACTGAGACTGGTTGCTTTTTAAACACAAAACAAGAATTAATTGAAATAGAAAATAGATAGCGAATGATTTCATTGCTACACAAATGAATATTGACACGTTGAAACTGACCCAAATGTGTGAGGCACTGATGAACCGCATCAAGTCCATGTTTACTGGCAATTTCAACCACTAGTCCCAGGCCTTCAAGACACCGACTGGTCAGTTTTTGGTCCCGTGAGTTTGTGTCATCGTCAGCAATTTGCTTTTCAATGTAGTACAGATACAACAACCTGATGTTGATACAACAATGTAGTACAGATAAAACAACCTGATGTTGATACAACAATGTAGTACAGATAAAACAACCTGATGTTCATACAACAATGTAGTACAGATAAAACAACCTGATGTTGATACAACAATGTAGTACAGATAAAACAACCTGATGTTGATACAACAATGTAGTACAGATAAAACAACCTGATGTTGATACAACAAAGTAGTACAGATAAAACAACCTGATGTTGATACAACAATGTAGTACAGATAAAACAACCTGATGTTGATACAACAATGTAGTACAGATAAAACAACCTGATGTTGACACAACAATGTAGTACAGATAAAACAACCTGATGTTGATACAACAATGTAGTACAGATAAAACAACCTGATGTTGATACAACAAAGTAGTACAGATAAAACAACCTGATGTTGATACAACAATGTAGTACAGATAAAACAACCTGATGTTGAAAAATTCAACTTGTTTCTGTTGGGATTAAAGATGCTATTTCTCTGTACAATTTTCTTGTGGTTCATTTGTGACAGTGTCACATCTATTCAACAGGACTTTACTGAAAATGTTTAACTAAGCTAAAGTGATCAATAATCTGGTTCATTTGACAGGTTGAGTCATCGTATTATGTCCTATTTAAAAATCTGGTCACTTAGACAGAATAAGTCATCTACCTGGTCAATTTGACAGGCTGAATCATCTATCTGGTCATTTTGACCGGTTGTGTCATCTATCTGGTCAATTTGACCTGTTGAATCTTCTATCTGGTCAATTAAAATGGTTGAGTCATCTTATTATTTCTTACTTAAATGATCAGTTTCATTGATAGTAACATTCCAGCCCTTTACTGGTTACCAAATGTTTTGGAATTCAAGAAATACTTCTCTCTAAAACATACAGTGGAACCTCTCATAACGAGCACCTCTCATAACGAGCAAAAAAAAATGTGAAGAAGTTGCTCCCTTAATGAGCGAAATTTCGCATAACGAGTTACGCAGAAAGGGGAAGTCTCTTTTCCCCTCACTTCTGCTTGGAAAAAACTTTGGCCAGAGAGTGCTGTTGAATGTGATTTTGAAACAGTATTTGTGGAGTCTCTACATTTAACGAGATTGTGTCATTGGCCAATATCATGGGACTCGAGGTGGACAAAAACGATATTGACGAGCTTGTGAAAGAGCACAGTCAAGAGTTGACCACCGAAGAGCTTATGGAGTTGCATCATGTTTCACAGCAAGAAATTATGGAGGAGAGCTCATTAATGGAGGAGGAAGTAGCAGAGCAACAATCTTCTAGCGCAATAAGAGAAATGCTGAAAGCATAGGAAACTGTTGCATCGTACATTGAGAAGCATCACCCTAATAAGGAGGTGACTATTCGTGCTAAAAATTTATTCAATGATAATGCTGTGACATATTTTGTTCAAATTTTGAAGCGTCGGCAAAAACCAATGTCTTTAGACAGTTTTCTAGTTAAAAGGGATTAATTATTTTTCATAAATTCATATTTTTATTTACGTTTTTTATTTCAAATCTAAATTGTATTCCAAGTTGTTACACTCCTTAACAATTGATAAATAATTTTATTTGAATAAATGTTAATAAAAGATTTTGAAAAATTAGTATTCTTTCAGCATGGAACGCATTATCGTATTTTACACAGATTTGTATGGGAAAAATGGTTTCGTTTAATGTGTGTTTCGCTTAACGAGTAAAGTTCTGGAACGAATTATGCTCGTTAAGAGAGGTCCCACTGTACTTATCTCTGAGAAGTACTTATCTCTAAGAAATACTCATCTCTTAATTAATTTACCAACCTTCCCAGCATGTGGCAACTTTTCAACAATTTTTCTTCGCTGAGTTGTTCCCCCTCACAGGTGCCTTTACTGGCCACCTGTCCGAGCTTCTGTGTTGCTACGGAGACGAGATAAGGCAGGAAGTCTTTGTCTGCCCTCAGCTCATCAACACCGCCGCCGTCTGTGGGCTGCTTGGTGGGATGGTCGGTCTGATTACTCTGATCACTGATTGTAACATGCAGAATGATTAAAAACCTTGACTTAAATATTGACACAAATGGTTCTGTTTTCTTTCAACTTTTGACTGAATATTTTATTTTATGTTTTTAAAAAAAAGAAACTGTAAATTTGTAATGAAACTTTAACTACTGTCACATTACTCCTAAGTTTTCTATTTGCTAGTCTTTAAAAATAGAACAAACATATTTAAAACAGCTTTATAGTAAAGCTAATTTTACACAACAATCATGTTTCAAATAGCTTTATAGCTCAAGTTACATAACAATCATATTTTAAACAGTTTTCTAGCTAATGTTACATAACAATCATATTTTAAACAGTTTTATAGCAAATGTTACATAACAATCATATTTTAAACAGTTTTCTAGCTAATGTTACATAAAAATCACATTTTAAACAGTTTTATAGCAAATGTTACATAACAATCATATTTTAAACAGTTTTATAGCTAATGTTACATAACAATCATATTTTAAACAGTTTTATAGCTAATGTTACATAACAATCACATTTTAAACAGTTTCTAGATAATGTTACATAACAATCACATTTTAAACAGTTTTATAGCTAATGTTACATAACAATCATACTTTAAATAGTTTCTAGATAATGTTACATAACAATCATATTTTAAACAGTTTCTAGATAATGTTACATAACAATCATATTTTAAACAGTTTTATAGCTAATGTTACATAACAATCACATTTTAAACAGTTTTTTAGCTAATGTTACATAACAATCATATTTTGAACAGTTTTATAGCTAATGTTACATAACAATCATATTTTAAACAGTTTTCTAGCTAATGTTACATAACAATCATATTTTAAACAGTTTTATAGCTAATGTTACATAACAAGCAAAATCTGATATATCAAAATGAATAGTAAAACCAGCTTTAACTTAGCATTTGTCATAGTAGACCAGTCCTAGTGGAGGTGGCATTTGTCATCGTAGACCAGTCCTAGTGGAGGTGTCATTTGTCATAGTAGGTCAGTCCTAGTAGAGAAATGTCATAGGTCAGTCCTAGTGGAAAAGTGTCTTTTGTCATAGTAGGTCAGTCCTAGTGGAAAAGTGTCTTTTGTCATAGTAGGTCAGTCCTAGTGGAGAAGTGTCTATTGTCATAGTAGGTCAGTCCTAGTGGGAAAAGTGTTTTTTGTCATAGTAGGTCAGCCCTAGTGGAGAAGTGTCTTTTGTCATAGTAGGTCAGTCCTAGTGGAGAAGTGTTTTTTGTCATAGTAGGTCAGTCCTCCTAGTGGAGAAGTGTCTTTTGTCATAGTAGGCCAGTCCTAGTGGAGAAGTGTCATAGTAGGTCAGTCCTAGTGGAGAAGTGTCTTTTGTCATAGTAGACCAGTCCTAATGGAGGTGTCATTTGCCTTAGTAGACCAGTCCTAGTGGAGAAGTGTCATTTGTCATAGTAGACCAGTCCTAGTGGAGGTGGCATTTGTCATAGTAGACCAGTCCTAGTGGAGGTGTCATTTGCCATAGTAGACCAGTCCTAGTTGAGAAGTGTCCATTGTCATAGTAGGTCAGTCCTAGTAGAGAAGTGTCATAGGTCAGTCCTAATGGAGAAGTGTCTTTTGCCATAGTAGGTCAGTCCTAGTGGAAAAGTGTCTTTTGTCATAGTAGGTCAGTCCTAGTGGAGAAGTGTCTTTTGTCATAGTAGGTCAGTCCTAGTGGAGAAGTGTTTTTTGTCATAGTAGGTCAGTCCTCCTAGTGGAGAAGTGTCTTTTGTCATAGTAGGCCAGTCCTAGTGGAGAAGTGTCATAGTAGGTCAGTCCTAGTGGAGAAGTGTCTTTTGTCATAGTAGGCCAGTCCTAGTGGAGAAGTGTCATAGTAGGCCAGTCCTAGTGGAGAAGTGTCTTTTGTCATAGTAGGCCAGTCCTAGTGGAGAAGTGTCTTTTGTCATAGTAGGCCAGTCCTAGTGGAGAATTTTCTTTTGTCATAGTAGGCCAGTCCTAGTGGAGAAGTGTCTTTTGTCATAGTAGGCCATTCCTAGTGGAGAAGTGTCATAGTAGGTCAGTCCTAGTGGAGAAGTGTCATAGTAGGTCAGTCCTAGTGGAGAAGTGTCATAGTAGGCCAGTCCAAGTGGAGAAGTGTCATTTCATGTGAATCATTTTTATTGAATCTCAGACTTACTTGAAGATGGCTTTGATAAAATTGATGATGCACGGCAAGGAGAGAAGAGAGAAGTTTGTTGTTTTTGGTTGGGTTACTTTTCCTTTCTTCCCAGCACCTGCTGCACTTTTGTCTCTGACCACTGATCCAAGTTGGTTGTGTTTACTGAACAGTTCCAGAACTTGCTTACAGCTCTCAGGACTAAAGGAAACATGATTAGACGTTAAGTTTTTTCAAATTGAAATGTGAATTTTCTTAATGATTAGACTACATGTACAGTCCTCTATATGCTGCATGTACTGTCCTCTATATGCTGCACTTAATGTCCTCTATGCACAAATCTCAAATGCTCTATAATTTAGCCTGAGATTTCTCAAGACTGACCTGAATTTGCCTGTCTCAAATGAGAATTCCATGAGCACTTCATAGAGCCCTAAAAGAAGTATGGCGAATATGTTATTTCTGACACCTACACCAGTGGCTAGGGAAAAGTCAGCGCTCTTATCCTGTTGAAAGAAGAAAAAAAACAACAAGAAACATTCAATGATGAATACTTTGGCTTTCTAAACAAACCAGTTTTCTGTAAAGCCATCAACTTCTTAGGACTTATCCATTGAATTTTTTAGTACCTATCCATTCATTTGTTAGGACCTATCCATTGACTTGTTAGGAATATCCATTGATTTGTTAGGACTTATCCACTGATTTGTTAGGACCTATCCACTGATTTGTTAGGACCTATCCACTGATTTGTTAGGACCTATCCACTGATTTGATAGGACTTATCCATTGATTTGTTAGGACCTATCCATTGACTTGTTAGGACCTATCCATTTATTAGTTAATTAGTTGATTAGATCCACTGATTTGTTGTTAATAATTTTTTTCAAAAGCATAAACTTTACGCATTTATAATTTTTTTTAAAATCTTACACTTGTATCAATTGCTTCCTAAACTCACCAAATTTAATCTTAAACTTATATCAATTGCTCCTTAATCTCACCAAATTTAATCTTACACTTGTATCAATTACTTCCTAATCTCACCAAATTTAATCTTAAAATTATATCAATTGCTCCTTAATCTCACCAACTCAAAATCTTCCATGTCAGCCTTAATAATTCGTTTGGTCATAGTTTCCAGAATATTCTGCAGCTCCTCTACACCATGTGGCTCCCGACTGGACTCTGGCTCATCATCATCATCAGTTGGGCTTGTGTTGCTGAGTATTTTAATGGATTCCCTGAGACATTGCTGGGCACAGCCGACTAAATGGGACTAATTTAGTAATCAAAAATAGTGTTAAAATTTAAATAAAATTGCCATGGTATGTAAATATTGTGCAGTAAACCTAACTTGATTATTTTCTAAATGTACAAGCAGCTGTGGCCTAGATATGAATAAACTAGTCAGCATCCTAAAAGTCCTAGACAGCCAGGTCTGAAGTCTTCTCTATAGAAGAAATCATTTTCTTTGACCATCATAGGTGTTTTACTAGATTAAAAGGTTTATGGTCTGATGCATACAAATTTGATTTCATTCTAAACATTTTATTAAATCAATAATAGTTTTAAAGACATCATAGACTAAAGGTTCCATTGTAAAGTACATACCAAATGTTCAGCTGAATAAACTTACTGTCCCTGTGTTATGAAACTTACTCTCCCTGTGTTATGAAACTTTCCCTGTGTTATAATACTTACCAAAGGTTCAGCTAAATAAACTTGCTCTCCCTGTGTAATGATACAGGGTTCTAATCTCAAAGGGGGGAGGCCCTCATTAGGTTCATAGTATTTCTTCAGCTGTAACCAAAAATGAAACGTAAGAGCATCTGTGATCAAATGAACTAAAGAGCTGATGAACTGAAAACCTGATGAACTGAAGAGTTGATGAACTAAAGAGCTGATGAACTGAAGAGCTGGTGAACTTTGCTTTAACAACTGGGAGGATACCGTTACACTATTTTATGTGTCAACAATAATCATTTGTTTCACCGTGCTTGCACTGTGTAGAATTATTTGCAGCTAATCTGTATTGCACATCATTCTTTCTTTTACCAATTAATTGTCAGATAATTGAAATAGCAGAACGAGGTATGTGGAACAGGACAAAAAGATTACAACGTTTTGGCATAGAGCCTTCTTCAGCTCACAGTACAAATGAATATATCACAAAGAACAGAGCGCAGTAAACAACTCAATAAATATCCATTGTTGTCGCCGGAAGTGCGAACACAGTAAGCGAGAGAATATAAATATTGACACTGTGAAAAATAAGGTCCACAAAAATAATGGACCAGAATATCCAGGGATACATAAACACACAGCAATAAGAAAATAGATGAAATATAGGGAAACAAAGCAACATCAGTAGGATAGTATTTGATTAATACCATATGGAGATATGGTGCCAAACAGATGAATACATTTATTTTCCATTTTAACCCTATCTGGTGTGTTACTGCATGAAATCAATGCCGTAATGGTTACATCCAATGCACCTTTATGTTCATCGCTGTTGAAATGAGAAGAGACTGGTGAAGGTTTACCTTGTTCAATATCCCAGAGATGTTCAGTAAACCTATGAGCCTAACTTCTCTCAGTTTCACCTATGTAACTAGATTGGCATCGACGGCACACAATCGCATAATTACATTACGGCTGACACAGGTGAAACCCTCTTTAATGGTAAAGGTATCTTTAGGGAGGCTAATGCTTTCCATTTGGAGTTTAAAGGGACAAGTCCTGCAGCGGCCTCTTAGCATGGTTTAGTACCAACGTAAGACGGTTCAGATCGAAGGCGACTATGAACCAGAAGGTCACCTAGATTTCTGTCCTGTCTAAAGATAATCAGTGAAGGAGATGAGAAAACCCCCATACAAGCTTCCACATACCTCTTGTTTTGCTATTTCATTTACTAGGCTTGAATGCAGTCCTTTAACTATTATAATTGTCAAATAACTGCATCAGTCTTTTTCGTTGAAATTAGAAACGCATGTAACATACCTGTGAAAGCAGCATGTCCAACACTGGATTTACCAGCTGGGAATTTTTGTGAAGAACATCATAGAGACCCTGAAATGAGGACAATTATTTCAAAATATTTGACGAAACTACCACTAGGTTAGTTTTATCGAAGTCACTTTAAACCAAAATTTATTCTTTAAAAATGTGCAACGTTATTGTAAGGGTCCTGTTTAACACTACATCTTCTATACATGGGCGCCCGCAGAGGGACACAAGGGGGGGCACTTGCCCCCTCCTGGATTGATTGGATAAAACATTTTTATACAAAAATAGACAAAAAATGTATTAAAGTAAAGAGAAAGTAAAGAGAAAGTAAAGAGAAAATAAAGAGAAAGTAACTAAGCTGATGTCCTGTCCGTTCGTTCACCATACAATACGCTACAGTAAATTAAAACTATATTAAAACATTACTAAAAAATTTTTGCCCCCCTCCACCCCCCTGGAAAGTTAATCGATTTTTTTTGTCCCCCCCCTAGAAAGTTTTCTGCGGGCACCCATGCTTCTGTGTTACTTATAATTAATCTCTATATCACCAGTGTTGCAGCTGTGGCTTGCTGCCTATTCAGTGCTGTCTAATTATTAAGATAACTTACTGCTATGGAAGCACCAGACCGATCTGATGGTTTTTAGCACTGTATCTTTTATCACATATTTCAATTCACAATATAAAATAAGACTCCTAGTTGGTTGGAATGATATAATTGTCATGATCTTATACACTTCACATACTTTACAACGCACACATATGGCCGATATCTATTCCAATGCTATAAGATATAGACTTAAATCATTGCAAGAGCAAACCTTCAAAATGCAGCACATATTCCTCCATGTTTCATATTCTCTCTCCACCTCCTTCTTGTCCCTCTGCACATGACATTCAAAACTTTCTCTTAATACTAAGAAGGACCAAACAATTATATTTCTATAATTGTGGAGCTGTTAGTTATATAAAAAACATTCCAAGATAGAACATTTAACTCACTCCTGATGGTTGCAACTAATTGTGACCTTGGGGTATTCCATTGGTTGCAACTAATTGTGACCTTGCGGGTGTTCCATTGGTTGCAACTAATTGTGACCTTGCGGGTGTTCCATTGGTTGCAACTAATTGTGACCTTGCGGGTGTTCCATTGGTTGCAACTAAATGTGACCTTGGGGTATTCCATTGGTTGCAACTAAATGTGACCTTGGGGTATTCCATTGGTTGCAACTAATTGTGACCTTGCAGGTGTTCCATTGGTTGCAACTAAATGTGACCTTGCAGGTGTTCCATTGGTTGCAACTAAATGTGACCTTGGGCGTTTCCAATGATGTGCCCAAGAGCATCCTGTGTGCATCTCTCTCATTTTTATTTAAAAATAGTAACGAAATCTAGCATCCCTCAAGAAATCCAGTGATGGTGTGATTTCTATTTTTTTAAAAACTGAAGTTGTTATCTTGCTTCACTTTCTATCTAGTATGGTTTGTCTAGACCTAACATAAGTTCATCCGATATGCCGAAAATAGATTTCTTGGTCACTGCTTGTTATTTGTTACTTCCCTTTGTTCAGGTATAAAAATTAAGTATAGAAGTAACACTCCCATCAGCACTCTCATCGGGAATCAGTTAAAATGGAAGAACCATGAATATAAATTATTTTAAACACTGACCTGATATATGCTCAGTCTTATATCTGCTTGTTGAGTGAAACATCTCCTCAAGTTGCCCACAATTTCTAGGCAAAGGGCTTCATTGCTCGCTGCATTGTAACGTGAATGCACATCTACCTGAAGCTAAATGTAACATGGAATCTGATTTATTTTAACAGAAGATAAATGTAACATGGCATCTGATTTATTTTAACAGAAGATAAATGTAACATGGAATCTGATTTTTTTAACAGCAGCTAAATGTAATATGGAATCTGATTTTTCTTTTAACTAAGGCTGAATGTAATATACAATCAGATATTAATTTTTTTTAAAATTGTTTACATAATTAAAATAATTGTGAAAATATCACACCGTTTTTGCATACAATGATATTTTTATATTTTTAAAAAATAAATGATAATTTTGTTTAAAACAGGTAAAAATAATATTACCTGAAACCATAGAATATACAGGAAATATGTGAAACGAAGTTTGAGAAAGTCCTTCCCATACTTTGTTTGATATATTTCCTTCTATCTAACCTGACTGCAGTCTCTCCCTTCGTAATATAATTTAGAATATACAGGCTGTTATAACTCATTCAACTTGCCTGACTTAAAGATATGGGTTGACTGACTTGACTGGAAGGGAGACCACCAAGTACACGAAAATGTTTTAAAATCAAGAGAAATCCTAGTACCCCTATTTTGCGCGAGTCCAGCTGTCTGTAACAAAAATCAATTATTAGACACACTTAATAAGTAATTAATTGTATTTTTTTTCATTACTTAAAAATAAAAAACTAATAGTCTATTCATACTCCCTTTCCTAAACAAAAAAAAACAATTAAATTTTATATACATAATAAGCGGAGATAATCCCAAGGATCTTCTTCTTCTATATCTTAATGGGCCCACGATCAATTTATTGATAATTTTGGCTCCTATGCATGTAAATGGGATTTGCAATGTTTCTGTTATTGGTGTTGATGAGGAAATCATGCACTAGGGGTTTGATGGCTTGAGGCAATAGACACAAATGTGTCTAGTGTTGTCGCCTCAACCGTTCCTTTTGAAAGAATGTTCCAGTCCCTGATTGTCTTGGGCAGGAATGAGCAGCTCCTGTACTGAGTTCTTGCTGGTATGAGCCTGAATTGCCTGTCATGGCCTCGTCGCTGTCTATGGGGGAGAGGGACGAGTTTCTGTTTAATACTGGAACAGTGGACCAGCCCATTATTTATCTTGTACATCATGGAGAGCCTATCATGGAGAGCCTGGATTGTCGTCGTCGTTTCTCCAATGGTGACCAGCCTAGTGTTTCTAGCATGCTGCCAACACTAGAGGTATTCCTGTAGCGGTTTAGGACAAAGCGTGCTGCTCGTCGCTGGACCGTCTCCAACCTGTCAATGCTCTTCTGGGTAAATGGGTCCCAGACTGAAGATGCATAATCTAAAATCGGACGGATAAAGGCTTTATATGCTCTTTCTTTCACACAGGAGTTGCCAATCTTTAGATTTCGCCTTAAGAACCCTAGGGTCTGACATAATAAATAAAACAATGAGCATAGGTTGTTGGAATTTCGTAAGGTTGGAACTATTTTAAAATCTCGACGAATCTACAACAAATGGGCAGTTTTTTTCTGGGATGACATGATATTCCATCAATTCTGCAGCTGCCACGTATATGTTCATGGCTCCACATTCCTCCCACATTCTCATAAGAATTAAATGTTGAACTATCTTCAGATTGCTCATAAAATAAGGCATAGTGACTGAATTCATAAATTAAATCCATCTACTGATAAAACAGATGTGACAAATGAAATACCTTGAAAACATAGCTTTTCTAAGTACAAGCATGAGTGTATCCTTGAGGAAAGCATTGAGTTTGAGCAGGGGCTGTATGGCAGACAGTAAACCCTCAGCAGTCTTGGGTGTCAGCTGAGGAACTTGGACAATAAGTTCCTGAATTTTGCTGATGGACTCTAGTAAGAGTTGAGGTGCGGTGTAAACTGCGTCAGATAGCAGATCTGAAAATAGATAGGGCATCATTTAAATAGATTTTTAACTAGTGAAAAATAAAAGAATAATGTCACGGATGACACGCAGCTTTGCAATAACAACTTTCATTTAAGCTATAAAAATGCAGTTTGTTAACAGCTATTTATAAACCAATCTTTTAAAAGCTCCTCTACCGACCCTCTTCCCTGAACTCTCTGAACAAACAAGAGGGCTAAACATGGGAGGACAGGGTCATGAGTACGGGCAACAAAAATTAAGCTAAAAATATGGGGAACGAAACCTGACGGATTTTTATTTAGAGCGAAAGTCTTCAATTTGTCCAACATATTTAATACGAGCGTATTTGACCTGGTGTTATCCACATAATAAATTTGATTATTTTTTTAAATTGCAGCTCTTAAAACTGCCCTTTATATCTCAGATAAACAGAATATTCAGCAGAAAATAGACCAAGAAATAAAATTATGATTCGGGGCAATATCTGAGATGGTCGTCCATTTATAGTGGTTTAAGTCAAATTACCTTTTGAAGTTTACCACAGTGCTAGTCACCTAAATTTGCGCATTTAAAAAATTACAACTGCTGAAGTTAATGGGTTTTCTGGGTCAAGAGGTATGACCACTTCAAAGTTGGATGCAATCCATTGTTTGTTTTTAATGTTTTAATTATTACAGGTAAATACATATGTAGTCACACTGCCATTCTACAGTAGATATACATAGATATCTATATAGTCACAGTGCCATTCTTCAGTAGATATACATAGATATCTATATAGTCACACTGCCATTCTACAGTAGATATACATTGATATCTAAAGTCACAGTGGCATTCTACAGTAGATATACATAGATATCTATATAGTCACACTGCCATCATACACTAGGTGTACATAGATATCAATAGTCACACTGCCATCATACACTAGGTGTACATAGATATCTATAGTCACACTGCCATCATACACTAGGTGTACATAGATAGTCACACTGCCATCATACACTAGGTGTGCATAGATATAGTCACACTGCCATCATACACTAGGTGTACATAGATATAGTCACGCTGCCTTCATACACTAGGTGTACATAGATATAGTCACTCACCAAGATAGTGTGAGACGGGTGTCCTGGCTTTCATAATGTGGTTAAATATCTGATCCAAGATCTCACTCCTGACAACCTCATGAACCTTTCAATATATCAAACAGATGGAAACTGATCAGAGACAGATCAAACACACCATTTTATAAGATCACAAAGTCCACCATTTTATAAGATTACAAAGTCCACCATTTTATAAGATCACAAAGTCCACCATTTATAAGATCACAAAGTCCACCATTTTATAAGATCACAAAGTCCACCATTTTATAAGATTACAAAGTCCACCATTTTATAAGATTACAAAGTCCACCATTTTATAAGATCACAAAGTCCACCATTTTATAAGATTACAAAGTCCACCATTTTATAAGATTACAAAGTCACGAGCAAGAATAAAAATGATTTATCCACTGTTTTATTAAAGTTATTTTAAATTGTAATGAAGTATAAATTTTTAGAATGAATTAAAATGAATGGGCTTGTGAACTGAACCTTTGGTCGCATGAATGGGCTTGTGAACTGAATCTTTGGTTAAATGAATTGGCTTGTGAACTGAATCTTTGGTTAAAATGAATGGGCTTGTGAATTGAATCTTTGAATGAAGGAATGGGCTTGTGAACTGAATCTTTTATTACATGAATGGACTTGTGAACTGAATCTTTGGTTAATAGAATGGGCTTGTGAACTGAATCTTTAGTTGAATGAATGGGCTTGTGAACTGAATCTTTGGTTAAATGAATGGGCTTGTGAACTGAATCTTTGGTTAAGCCAGGTAATAAAATAAAATGTAACAAGACAGGTAAAAAATTACAACAGGACAAATGATTAATACATGAGTACAACAGGACAAATGATTAATACATGTGTACAACAGGAAAAATGATTAATACATGTGTTCAACAGGACAAATTATGGATACATGTGTACAACAGGACTAATTATTGATACATATGTACAAAAACAGGACAGTTGATCACACTCATTGATTTTTGTTATGATTAAATGATAGAATTTGATCAGGCAATGCTAATAGATAGCCATTTAAAAGAGCATTACTTCCCTTATCCATTTAAGTGAGCATTACTTCCCTTTTTTTATAGAACTGTTTTGGCAATAGACAACAAACTTTTAAAGTTTGAGATATAAAAGAAATGTTAATTTAATGAAAGACAACATCAAAATGGTCATTGAAAATATAGCTTATTTACTATTGATATCTAACAAAGCAATCATAGAAACTATAGCATATATACGTTTGATATCTTACAAAGAATGATGGAAAAAGTTTCATTCTCAGATAATCTTACTTTGAAAGTTTTTAACAGTATTTTATGACCAAGCTGGCAAGCTAGTTGTGTTGGGGTAAGGTGTCCTTTGTTGGAAGCATTGTCTTGTAAGACACCGAGCACAATCTTTGGTCCAAAGCTGTCCATGAGTCCAAATCCAAGGATGACCAGACCTTGAGTCACATGATCCCAGTCATAAGTACTGAGTAAATTAAAGAACCGTCACAATTTAAAAGTTAGGATATGTTCTATTTTTAGTACTAGATATTCTGTCAAAATATACTCCAACTTTTCATTTCTACTTCAGATCTATTTGAAAACATCATCAGTACCTGTGTTCAACAGCCTCTAGCACTAGGTCCATTGTCTTAGGACCTATTGGCAACCATGAATTGTTTCATCAGTACCTATGTTCAACAGCCTCTAGCACTAGGTCCATTGTCTTAGGACCTATTGGGAACCATGAATTGTTTCATCATTACCTGTGTTCAACAGCCTCTAGCACTAGGTCCATTGTCTTAGGACCTATTGGCAACCATGAATTGTTTCATCAGTACCTGTGTTCAACAGCCTCTAGCACTTGGTCCATTGTCTTAGGACCTATTGGCAACCATGAATTGTTTCATCAGTACCTGTGTTCAACAGCCTCTAGCACTAGGTCCATTGTCTTAGGACCTATTGGGAACCATGAATTGTTTCATCATTACCTATGTTCAACAGCCTCTAGCACTAGGTCCATTGTCTTAGGACCTATTGGGAACCATGAATTGTTTCATCATTACCTGTGTTCAACAGCCTCTAGCACTAGGTCCATTGTCTTAGGACCTATTGGGAACCATGAATTGTTTCATCATTACCTATGTTCAACAGCCTCTAGCACTAGGTCCATTGTCTTAGGACCTATTGGCAACCATGAATTGTTTCATCATTACCTATGTTCAACAGCCTCTAGCACTTGGTCCATTTTCTTAGGACCTATTGGGAACCATGAATTGTTTCATCATTACCTGTGTTCAACAGCCTCTAGCACTAGGTCCATTGTCTTAGGACCTATTGGGAACCATGAATTGTTTCATCATTACCTATGTTCAACAGCCTCTTGCACTAGGTCCATTTTCTTAGGACCTATTGGGAACCATGAATTGTTTCATCAGTACCTGTGTTCAACAGCCTCTTGCACTAGGCCCATTGTCTTAGGACCTATTGGGAACCATGAATTGTTTCATCATTACCTGTGTTCAACAGCCTCTAGCACAAGGTCCATTGTCTTAGGACCTATTGGGCAACACTCTCTCAGCCACAGCGACAGCTGTTGTTTTTCTTCATACCGTAGGCATTTTATTATAGTGCTTTTCAAAAAGTCAAAGATCTGAAAACATAAGGAAATGAATGTGTGAGGATGAAATGAATGTGTGAGGATGAAATGAATGTGTGAGGATGAAATGAATGTGTGAGGATGAAATGAATGTGTGAGGATGAAATGAATGTGTGAGGATGAAATGAATGTGTGAGGATGAAATGAATGTATGAGGATGAAATGAATGTGTGAGGATGAAATGAATGTATGAGGATGAAAACTACTTTTATTTCTATAATCAATAAGGCTATGTGTCTAGAACTGAAAGCCATCTCATCAGTCCTTTCATTGTAATGTGTTTAGAGCTGAAAGCCATCTCACGGCAATGTGTCTAGAACTGAAAGCCATCTCATCAGTCCTTTCATTGTAATGTGTTTAGAGCTGAAAGTCATCTCACGGCAATGTGTCTAGAACTGAAAGCCATCTCATCAGTCCTTTCATGGCAATGTGTCTAGAACTGAAAGCAATCTCAGGGCAATGTATCTAGAACTAAAAGCCATCTCATCAGTCCTTTCATGGCAATGTGTCTAGAACTGAAAGCCATCTCATCAGTCCTTTCATGGTAATGTGTCTAGAACTGAAAGCCATCTCATCAGTCCTTTCATGGCAATGTGTCTAGAACTGAAAGCCATCTCATCAGTCCTTTCATGGTAGTGCGTCTAGAACTGAAAGCCATCTCATCAGTCCTTTCATGGCAATGTGTCTAGAGCTGAAAGCCATCTCATCAGTCCTTTCATGGTAATGTGTCTAGAACTGAAAGCCATCTCATCAGTCCTTTCATGGCCTTGTGTCTAGAACTGAAAGCCATCTCATGGCAATGTGTCTAGAACTAAAAGCAATCTCATCAGTCCTTTCATGGCAATGTGTCTAGAACTGAAAGCCATCTCACGGCAATGTGTCTAGAGCTGAAAGCCATCTCACCAGTCCTTTCATGGCAATGTGTCTAGAACTGAAAGCTATCTCACGGCAATGTGTCTAGAACTGAAAGCCATCTCACGGGAATGTGTCTAGAACTGAAAGCCATCTCATGGCAATGTGTCTAGAACTAAAAGCCATCTCCCCAGTCCTTTCATGGCAATGTGTCTAGAACTGAAAGCCATCTCACCAGTCCTTTCATGGCAATGTGTCTAGAACTGAAAGCCATCTCACTGCAATGTGTCTAGAACTGAAAGCCATCTCACGGCAATGTGTCTAGAACTGAAAGCCATCGCATCAGTCCTTTCATGGCAATGTGTCTAGAACTGAAAGCCATCTCATCAATCCTTTCATGGCCATGTGTCTAGAACTGAAAGCCATCTCATCAGTCCTTTCATGGCCATGTGTCTAGAGCTGAAAGCCATCTCATCAGTCCTTTCATGGCAATGTGTCTAGAACTGAAAGCCATCTCATCAATCCTTTCATGGCCATGTGTCTAGAACTGAAAGCCATCTCATCAGTCCTTTCATGGCCATGTGTCTAGAACTGAAAGCCATCTCATCAATCCTTTCATGGCCATGTGTCTAGAACTGAAAGCCATCTCATCAATCCTTTCATGGCCATGTGTCTAGAACTGAAAGCCATCTCATCAATCCTTTCATGGCCATGTGTCTAGAACTGAAAGCCATCTCATCAATCCTTTCATGGCCATGTGTCTAGAACTGAAAGCCATCTCATCAATCCTTTCATGGCCATGTGTCTAGAACTGAAAGCCATCTCATCAATCCTTTCATGGCCATGTGTCTAGAACTGAAAGCCATCTCATCAGTCCTTTCATGGCAATGTGTCTAGAACTGAAAGCCATCTCATCAGTCCTTTCATGGCAATGTGTCTAGAGCTGAAAGCCATCTCACTGCTATGTGTCTAGAACTGAAAGCCATCTCATCAGTCCTTTCATGGCATTGTGTCTAGAACTGAAAGCCATCTCATCAGTCCTTTCATGGCAATGTGTCTAGAGCTGAAAGCCATCTCATCAGTCCTTTCATGGCAATGTGTCTAGAGCTGAAAGCCATCTCACGGCAATGTGTCTAGAACTGAAAGCCATCTCATCAGTCATTTCATGGCAATGTGTCTAGAGCTGAAAGCCATCTCACGGCAATGTGTCTAGAACTGAAAGCCATCTCATTAGTCCTTTCATGGCAATGTGTCTAGAGCTGAAAGCCATCTCACGGCAATGTGTCTAGAACTGAAAGCCATCTCATTAGTCCTTTAATGGCAATGTGTCTAGAACTGAAAGCCATCTCATCAGTCCTTTCATTGTAATGTGTTTAGAACTGAAAGCCATCTCACGGCAATGTGTCTAGAACTGAAAGCCATCTCATCAGTCCTTTCATTGTAATGTGTTTAGAACTGAAAGCCATCTCACGGCAATGTGTCTAGAGCTGAAAGCTTTTTCATCAGTCCTTTCATGGCAATGTGTCTAGAGCTGAAAGCCATCTCATCAGTCCTTTCATTGTAATGTGTTTAGAACTGAAAGCCATCTCACGGCAATGTGTCTAGAGCTGAAAGCGATCTCATCAGTCCTTTCATGGCAATGTGTCTAGAGCTGAAAGCCATCTCACGGCAATGTGTCTAGAACTGAAAGCCATCTCATCAGTCCTTTCATGGCAATGTGTCTAGAACTGAAAGCCATCTCATCAGTCCTTTCATGGCAATGTGTCTAGAGCTGAAAGCCATCTCACGGCAATGTGTCTAGAACTGAAAGCCATCTCATCAGTCCTTTCACGGCAATGTGTCTAGAGCTGAAAGCCATCTCATTCAGTCCTTTCATGGCAATGTGTCTAGAACTGAAAGCCATCTCATCAGTCCTTTCATGGCATTGTGTCTAGAACTGAAAGCCATCTCACGGCAATGTGTCTAGAACTAAAAGCCATCTCATCAGTCCTTTCATGGCATTGTGTCAAAAAACTGAAAGCCATCTCACCAGTCATTTCATGGCAATGTGTCTAGAGCTGAACGCCATCTCGCCAGCCATTTAATGCCGGTTTAATAATAGCAATTCTTGGTGACAAGGGTTCAGCTAAAGAGTGTTGTAAGAACACAGCTAAACAAGCTTGTCTTGAAGAACATAAGTGTTGATAGTAGTATGAGTAGGAAGTTATGAGTAGGAAGTTATGAGTAGGAAGTTATGAGTAGGAAGTTAAATTTAAGTATGCCTCCAATAATGCACTTAAGTGATAGTTCAATTGCATTGACTCAACTGTTATGACTGTGATATTCAGTTTCTTTGATAATTCTGATATGACTGTGACATTCAGTTTCATTGACTAATCTGTGTTGACTGTGACATTCAGTTTCATTGACTAGTCTGTTATGACTGTGACATTCAGTTTCATTGACTAGTCTGCTATGGCTGTGACATTCAGTTTCATTGACTAGTCTGTTATGACTGTGACATTCAGTTTCATTGACTAGTCTGTTATGGCTGTGACATTCAGTTGCATTGACTAATCTGTTATGACTGTGACATTCAGTTCCATTGACTAGTCTGTTATGGCTGTGACATTCAGTTTCATTGACTAGTCTGTTATGGCTGTGACATTCAGTTTCATTGACTAGTCTGTTATGACTGTGACATTCAGTTTCATTGACTAATCTGTTTTGACTGTGACATTCAGTTCCATTGACTAGTCTGTTTTGACTGTGACATTCAGTTGCATTGACTAATCTGTTATGACTGTGACATTCAGTTTCATTGACTAATCTGTTATGACTGTGACATTCAGTTTCATTGACTAATCTGTTTTGACTGTGACATTCAGTTTCATTGACTAGTCTGTTATGACTGTGACATTCAGTTTCATTGACTAGTCTGTTATGACTGTGACATTCAGTTTCATTGACTAGTCTGTTATGACTATGACATTCAGTTTCATGTTATCTTCTTAATATGATGATTTAAAATTTAACCAATTCGTAATGTTTAGTAAATAATCAAAGTGTATGTTCATAAATATAATTAAAAGTAAATTATTTCTATTCTCAACATTAACATCCAAGATAATGACTACAGTTGCCATTTAATTCATGCAGATAAGTTATATACTAAATGTGATAGTTACATTATTGCCTACTGCCCACATTAAACACAAGGACTACAGGTGTTAATAAGTGGCTTTTACTTTAATGTATTAAGTGCAAGAACTTCAATATAATAATTACAGTAATTCACACTATACCTGATCTTCAAAATGATGGAGCTGTGAAATGGACAGCAGTAGAGACAAGATGAATGGAGAAACAACCTTAGAGCCACTTGACTGACTTAGAATCTGTCAAAAAATACAAAAGAGTTGACACATACAAGTGAAGACAATTCATTGTTTAAAGATGTGATTAATGATATTTTCATCCATGAGACAAATGAGGTGAAATAGTTGTTTAATGATGAACACATTTGTAAAGAAATCTTCAAGGTTGGTCAAGCCATTCAGTGTAAAACAGTGGTTCTCACACTTAACTGGTCACGTCACCTTGGCTATATGAACTCATCAACTCAATGTAAGCTTCCATGGCAAACATTGTCTCAACTCAATGTAAGCTTCCATGGCAACCATTGTCTCAACTCAATCTAAGCTTCGATGGCAACTATTGTCTAAACTCAATCTAAGCTTCGATGGCAACTATTGTCTTAACTCAATGTAAGCTTCCAGGGAAACTATTGTAGCTCTCTCAGAAACGTTTGCACTCTTTACGAAATATAATAAAAGCTTAAAGGTTGCACTGTTGTGCATATTTGAATATTTCATCAAACTAAAAATGAAGCTTATTCCTGAATAAAACACACTGATGAACTTGATTGAGACACACTGATGAACTTGATTGAGACACACTGATGAACTTGATTTAGACACACTGATGAAATTTGATTGAGACACACTGATGAACTTGATTTAGACACACTGATGAACTTTATTGAGACACACTGATGAACTTGATTGAGACACACTGGTGAACTTGATTGAGACACACTGATAAAATTGATTGAGACACACTGATGAAATTGATTGAGACACACTAATAAACTTGATTGAGACACACTGATGAACTTAATTGAGACACACTGATGAACTTGATGGAGACATACTGATGAACATGACTGAGAAACGCTTGTGAACTTGATTGAGACATACACTGATGTACTTGATTGAGACATGCTGATGTACTTGATTAAGGCACATTGGTAAACCTGACTGAGACACACTGATGTACTTGATTGAGACATGCTGATGTACTTGATTGAGACACAGTACTGAACTTGATTGAGACACACTGATGAACTTGATTAAGACACACTGTTAAACTTGATTGTGACACAGTGGTGAACTTGAGAAAAACTGATGAACTTGATTGAGACACACTGATGAACTTGATTGAGACACACTGATGAACTTGATTTAGACACACTGATGAACTTGATTGAGACACACTGATGAACTTGATTTAGACACACTGATGAACTTGATTGAGACACACTGATGAACTTGATTGAGACACACTGGTGAACTTGATTGAGACACACTGATGAAATTGATTGAGACACACTGATGAACTTGATTGAGACACACTAATAAACTTGATTGAGACACACTGATGAACTTGATTGAGACACACTGATGAACTTGATGGAGACATACTGATGAACATGACTGAGAAACGCTGGTGAACTTGATTGAGACATACACTGATGTACTTGATTGAGACATACACTGATGTACTTGATTGAGACATGCTGATGTACTTGATTAAGGCACATTGGTAAACCTGACTGAGACACACTGATGTACTTGATTGAGACATGCTGATGTACTTGATTGAGACACAGTACTGAACTTGATTGAGACACACTGATGAACTTGATTGAGACACACTGGTAAACTTGATTGCGACACAGTGGTGAACTTGAGAAAAACTGATGAACTTGATTGAGACACACTGATGAACTTGATTGGGTCACACTAATGAACTTGATTGAGATACACTGGTGAACTTGATTGAGACACACTGATGAACTTGATTGAGACACACTGATGAACTTGATTGGGGCACACTGATGAACTTGATTGAGACACACGAATAAACTTGATTGAGACACACTGATGAACTTGATTGAGACACACTGATGAACTTGATGGAGACATACTGATGAACATGACTGAGAAACGCTGGAGAACTTGATTGAGACACACTGATGTATTTCATTGAGACATGCTGATGTACTTGATTAAGACACATTGGTAAACTGGATTGAGACACACTGATGTACTTGATTGAGACATGCTGATGTACTTGATTGAGACACAGTACTGAACTTGATTGAGACACACTGATGAACTTGATTGAGACACACTGGTAAACTTGATTGAGACACAGCGGTGAACTTGATTGAGAAAAACTGATGAACTTGATTGAGACACACTGATGAACTTGATGGAGACATACTGATGAACTTGACTGAGAAACGCTGATGAACTTGATTGAGACACACTGATGTACTTGATAGAGACATGCTGATGTACTTGATTGAGACACATTGGTGAACTCGATTGAGACACACTGATGTACTTGATTGAGACATGCTGATGTACTTGAGAAACAGTGGTAAACTTGATTGAGACACACTGATTAACTTGTTTGAGACACACTGGTAAACTTGATTGAGACACAGTGGTGAACTTGATTGAGAAAAACTGATGAACTTGATTGAGACACACTAATGAACTTGATTGAGAAAAACTGATGAACTTGACTGAGACACACTGGGAACTTGATTGAGACACTGGTGAGCTTGATTGAGACGCACTGGGGAACTTGATTGAGACACACTGGGGAACTTGATTGAGACACACTGGGGAACTTGATAGGCGCACACAGCTTTTTTTTTTATAGCTAAGATCGTTTTTGAGCATAAGCTTTAGATATAAAATGCCTTCACTGGTTAATTGTTTTTAAACTCTCTAGATACAGCAAATAATGAATTAGTCTAGAGACAATCGGTAATCGTCATATAGAGCCATTTTGCCAATAAAGCGTAATTAAATGGAATTTTAGATGGAAATCAAGAAATGGCATTTTGCGCAAATTAGTATCAAAGCCTCTAAGTTATGTTGCCAGCCTCCAAGTTATGGTGTTATCCTTTAAATTATGTTGCTAGCCTCTAAGTTTTGTTGCCAGCCTCTAAGTTATGCTGTTATCCTTTAAATTATGTTGCTACCCTCTAAGTTATGGTGTTATCCTTTAAATTATGTTGCTAGCCTCTAAGTTATGTTGCCAGCCTCTAAGTTATGCTGTTATCCTTTAAAGTATGTTGCTAGCCTCTAAGTTATGTTGCCAGCCTCTAAGTTATGCTGTTATCCTTTAAATTATGTTGCTACCCTCTAAGTTATGTTGCCAGCCTCTAAGTTATGGTGTTATCCTTTAAATTATGTTGCTAGCCTCTAAGTTATGTTGCCAGCCTCTAAGTTATGGTGTTATCCTTTAAATTATGTTGCTAGCCTCTGATTTATGGTGCCAGCCTCTAAGTTATGGTGCCAGCCTCTAAGTTATGGTGCCAGCCTCTAAGTTATGGTGCCAGCCTCTAAGTTATGGTGCTAGCCTCTAAGTTATGGTGCTAGCTTCTAAGAATCTAAACCATCATAGGAATGTAGACAATCATAGGAATTATTTGACTAGAAAATAGTTTTACCTTGACATATTTGATAAACTGTAATCCCAGTTCACGATCTTGTTTAACAGCTTGTGTAATGTGAAGAATGACGGTGCCTTCAATCTGACGTAAAGTGGTCAAGCATGTTGACTCTGTCATCAGGTCCTCACTGAAATTAGTTCAACAAAAATAGTGGATGAGATTTCTCAGATATAGAAATAGATGAAAGTGAACATGATGGCAGATGTTTCCAAGTTTAGCAAAGATGCTGAGATCTCCATTTAAAACAAGTTAAATGCTTGGGATAACTTCATAAATTTCAGCCAGATGGAATGGAATTGTCATCACAGTCAAAGATCCATTCTATGAGAGGATGTCAATCCCATGTAAAAAAAAGTCATCCACCAAAGTTGGAAGGCGGAGTTGTCACTCATCCACCAAAGTTGGAAGTCAGAGTGGTCACTCATCCACCAAAGTTGGATGGCAGCATTGTGGCACAAGAGCATAAAAAAGTTAAAATACTTTTAAAAGAAAGAAAGCAATAATACAGCCTTACGTGTCTATCATTAAATCATAGCCTCATGGTTTAAGAATTGGTTAAATGATATTTCTGTAAGTGTAAGAATTGGTTGCATAGTATTTTTGTAAGTGTAAGAAATGGCTACCAGTTATTTCTGTGAGTGTAAGATTTTGCTACCAATTATTCCAAGCAGACATCTGTTAGTGTAAATCTTACCTGTCAATCATTATGCCCCGCCCTCTGTTTGCATCATCCTGGGCAGTGTAGTGTTTACATAGGCCTTCCAACACCAACTTTTTGTGTCCCTGTTCAAAAGGACAGTTAGGCATTGGTTAGGACTTATGGTAGGACAGTTAGGCATTGGTTAGGACTTATGGAAGGACAGTTAGGCATTGGTTAGGACTTATGGAAGGACAGTTAGGCATTGATTAGGACTTATGGAAGGAGAGTTAGGCATTGATTAGGACTTATGGAAGGACAGTTAGGCATTAATTAGGTCTTATGGAAGGACAGTTAGGCATTGATTAGGACTTATGGTAGGACAGTTAGGCATTGATTAGGACTTATGGAAGGAAAGTTAGGCATTGATTAGTACTTATGGAAGGAAAGTTAGGCATTGATTAGGACTTATGGAAGGAAAGTTAGGCATTGATTAGGACTTATGGAAGGAAAGTTAGGCATTGATTAGAACTTATGGAAGGACAGTTAGGCATTGATTAGGACTTATGGAAGGACAAAATGAAAACAACAGTTTGAGACTCATCTTTCCAATTTTATGACATAGTAAAATAAGCATAATAGATTGAGAAAGACATTTAGAAGTAAAATATATCATGATGAACTACAAGAACTGCAGTAACATGTGTTATTTCAAGATCAGTAATTGTTATATTCTGTTACCTTAGCAGAGAGCAGCAGCAGCTGATATGCTGCAGTAGGCTGGTCGGCAAGGTCGAGCTCAGCAAATAATCGCAGAACTTTCTCAATGACAAACCTTAACTCGTCTGATGTTAAAGGAATGCCTTGAAACATGGTGGACATGTGGACGGCCATTGTTGGATCCCATCTGTTATTAGGCATGAAAAGTCCATTTGATAGAAAAACCTTTTTGTAGGTGCCGTTATCAAGTGAATGACGCCTTACAGATTTTTCAAAGCACTTAAATAGTGTGTTTTTTTTAAAGTGAAAGATAATTTTTTTTTTTTTTAAACTTATCTTTAAATTTATTGATTGTAAAAAGTATTTACTACAGACTTTTAAGACAATTATAATGAAATCTGATTTACCTGCTACAACAAATGCTGTTGATGATTTGACCTTTGAACTCTGAACCTTTCACCTCACTTTCTCCTTTTGGAATGGTTTCCCTTGAATTGATAACACGTAACACATTGGAGAGAAACTCTGCACATCTATAAAGATAAAATGAACACACATTAAGATGTGGTTAATGGTTATATCAGACAGAGCCTGCAGATCTGCATGGAAGAATTCGTCATACTTTAAGATTTAGTTTAACTTCTTATCGTATGGTTTACAGCTTGTATATCACTAGGTTACCATGACAACTAGCATGAGGCTGTCCAACATCATATGGTTTACAGCTTGTATATCACTAGGTTACCATGACAACTAGCATGAGGCTTTCCAACATCGTATGGTTTACAGCTTGTATATCACTAGGTTACCATGACAACTAGCATGAGGCTGTCCAACATCGTATGGTTTACAGCTTGTATATCACTAGGTTACCATGACAACTAGCATGAGGCTGTCCAACATCCTATGGTTTACAGCTTGTATATCACTAGATTACCATGACAGCATGAGGCTGTCCAACATCGTATGGTTTACAGCTTGTATATCACGAGGTTACCATGACAACTAGCATGAGGCTGTCCAACATCATATGGTTTACAGCTTGTATATCACAAGGTTACCATGACAGCTAACATGAGGTCATTTTAAAATGTCTATTTATTACACCGGGTCATTTTAAAATGTCTTTTTATTACACCAGGTCATTTTAAAATGTCTATTTATTACACCAGGTGGTTTTAAAATGTCTATTTATTACACCAGGTGGTTTTAAAATGTCTATTTATTACACCAGGTCATTTTAAAATGTCTTTTTATTACACCAGGTCATTTTAAAATGTCTATTTATTACACCAGGTCATTTTAAAATGTCTTTTTATTAAACCAGGTCATTTTAAAATGTCTATTTATTACACCAGGTGGTTTTAAATGTCTATTTATTACACCAGGTGGTTTTAAAATGTCTATTTATTACACCAGGTCATTTTAAAATGTCTATTTATTACACCAGGTGGTTTTAAAATGTCTATTTATTACACCAGGTGGTTTTAAAATGTCTATTTATTACACCAGGTGGTTTTAAAATGTCTATTTATTACACCAGGTCATTTTAAAATGTCTATTTATTACACCAGGTCATTTTAAAATGTCTATTTATTACACCAGGTCATTTTAAAATGTCTTTTTATTACACCAGGTCATTTTAAAATGTCTATTTATTACACCAGGTGGTTTTAAAATCTCTATTTATTACACCAGGTGGTTTTAAAATGTCTATTTATTACACCAGGTCATTTTAAAATGTCTATTTATCTTAATGGGAACTCATACTGCTTCTGACCCTCACTCAACTCTGACTGGTCAGTGCCAGCTTTTTTCTAACTCTTCTGTCCACTGTTTACTTTCCCCCTAATAGCACACTCGCCTGTTTCATCTCAGATGTCTATCTCAGACTAGACCCTGGGTCTGTCTATCTCTCTCCACTCAGACTGATTTTACTTTGGACTATCCCAGTTATCCCAGTTATCCCAGTTATCCCAGTTATCAGGTGCTGTTAATCAGAGTCATATGATTTCTCTTCTGAACTTCTGCGTTCAAAGGGATCAAACTCATGGGATTATGCCACAATAAATATAAACTCATGGGATTATGCCACAATAAATATAAACTCATGGGATTATGCCACAATAAATATAAACTCATGGGATTATGCCACAATAAATATAAACTCATGGGATTATGCCACAATAAATATAAACTCATGGGATTATGCCACAATAAATATAAACTCATGGGATTATGCCACAATAAATATGCGGTTTTTCACAAACTTACTTAAGGAGAATCAATAACAAACATACTCAAGGGAATCACTTACAAACTTACTCAAGGGAAGCACTTACAAACTTACTCAAGGCAATCAATAACAAACATACTCAAGGGAATCACTTACAAACTTACTCAAGGGAAGCACTTACAAACTTACTCAAGGGAAGCACTTACAAACTTACTCAAGGCAATCAATAACAAACTTACTCAAGGGAATCACTTACAAACTTACTCAAGGGAAGCACTTACAAACTTACTCAAGGCAATCAATAACAAACTTACTCAAGGGAATCACTTACAAACTTACTCAAGGGAAGCACTTACAAACTTACTCAAGGCAATCAATAACAAACTTACTCAAGGGAATCACTTACAAACTTACTCAAGGCAATCAATAACAAACTTACTCAAGGGAATCACTTACAAACTTACTCAAGGCAATCAATAACAAACTTACTCAAGGGAATCACTTACAAACGTACTCAAGGGAATCAATAAGAAACTTACTTGCCCCCCTTGAAGCCGCCATTTTTCACAGAGTCTACGAAGTATTGTGCTAAATCCCCTAAGCACTTGGCTTGCAAGGTATCCACCTGGAAACAACAAAATGTCAAACCAATTTCTATTCATTTCTTTCTTTTTCTTTTTAAATTCAGATGAAGCACACATAAATATTGTAAGTTTAAAAAAATATTTTCAGCTGCAGATTTTTACAAAATGATAATCAAATTAAATTGTGTTTCTCTAACCAAAAGCAAAATTTTTTATTGATTACAACACTCAAATCATAAGTCACCTACTAAAATGTCATTGATGACAACACTCAAATCATAAGTCACCTACTAAAATGTCATTGATGACAACACTCAAATCATAAGTCACCTACTAAAATGTCATTGATGACAACACTCAAATCATAAGTCACCTACTAAAGTGTCATTGATGACAACACTCAAATCATAAGTCACCTACTAAAGTGTCATTGATGACAACACTCAAATCATAAGTCACCTACTAAAATATCATTGATGACAACACTCAAATCATAAGTCACCTACTAAAGTGTCATTGATTACAACACTCAAATCATAAGTCACCTACTAAAATGTCATTGATTACAACACTCAAATCATAAGTCAACTACTAAAGTGTCATTGATTATGACACTCAAATCAGAAGTCACATAATAAAATTTCATTGATTACAACACTCAAATCATAAGTCACCTACTAAAATTGAAAACATAAAGTAATCAAAGACCTTTTCTCATAAAATGTTGTTCATCTTCTCTGAGATATTAATGACAGCACTTAATATATTTCTAGGTGTAGCTTTTGTTTCTTCACAGAGACTGAGAACTTTTGAGTGAGAGAACTACATTGTGATCTGGGAACACTTGAGTGAGAGAACTACATTGTGATCTGGGAACACTTGAGTGAGAGAGCTACATTGTGATCTGGGAACACTTGTGTGAGAGAGCTTTTTTTGTGATCTGGGAACACTTGAGTGAGAGAGCTACAGTGTGATCTGGGAACACTTGAGTGAGAGAGCTACATTGTGATCTGGGAACACTTGAGTGAGAGAGCTACATTGTGATCTCGAAACACTTAAGTGAGAGAGCTACATTGTGATCTGGGAACACTTGAGTGAGAGAACTACATTGTGATCTGGGAACACTTGAGTGAGAGAACTACATTGTGATCTGGGAACACTTAAGTGAGAGAGCTACATTGTGACCTAAGAACACTTGAGTGAGAGAGTTACATTGTGATCTGGGAACACTTGAGTGAGAGAACTACATTGTGATCTGGGAACACTTGAGTGAGAGAGCTACAGTATGATCTGGGAACACTTGAGTGAGAGAGCTACATTGTGATCTGGGAACACTTGAGTGAGAGAGCTACATTGTGATCTGGGTACACTTGAGTGAGAGAGCTACAGTGTGATCTGGGAACACTTGAGTGAGAGAGCTACATTGTGATCTGGGAACACTTAAGTGAGAGAGCTACATTGTGATCTGGGAACACTTGAGTGAGAGAGCTACATTGTGATCTGGGAACACTTAAGTGAGAGAGCTACATTGTGATCTGGGAACACTTAAGTGAGAGAGCTACATTGTGATCTGGAAACACTTAAGTGAGAGAGCTACATTGTGATCTGGGAACACTTAAGTGAGAGAGCTACATTGTGATCTGGAAACACTTAAGGGAGAGAGCTACATTGTGATCTGGAAACACTTGAGTGAGAGAGCTACATTGTGATCTGGAAACACTTAAGTGAGATAGCTACATTGTGATCTGGGAACACTTGAGTGAGAGAGCTACATTGTGATCTGGGAACACTTAAGTGAGAGAGCTACATTGTGACCTGGGAACACTTAAGTGAGAGAGCTACATTGTGATCTGTGAACACTTGAGTGAGAGAGCTACATTGTGATCTGGGAACACTTAAGTGAGAGAGCTACATTGTGACCTGGGAACACTTGAGTGAGAGAGCTACATTGTGATCTGGGAACACTTGAGTGAGAGAACTACATTGTGATCTGGGAACACTTGAGTGAGAGAGCTATAGTGTGATCTGGGAACACTTTAGTGAGAGAGCTACATTGTGATCTGGGAACACTTGAGTGAGAGAGCTACAGTGTGATCTGGGAACACTTGAGTGAGAGAGCTACATTGTGATCTGGGAACACTTAAGTGAGAGAGCTACATTGTGATCTGGGAACACTTAAGTGAGAGAGCTACATTGTGATCTGGAAACACTTAAGTGAGAGAGCTACAGTGTGATCTGGGAACACTTGAGTGAGAGAGCTACATTGTGATCTGGGAACACTTGAGTGAGAGAGCTACATTGTGATCTGGGAACACTTGAGTGAGAGAGCTATATTGTGATCTGGGAACACTTAAGTGAGAGAGCTACATTGTGACCTGGGAACACTTGAGTGAGAGAGCTACATTGTGATCTGGGAACACTTGAGTGAGAGAACTACATTGTAATCTGGGAACACTTGAGTGAGAGAGCTAGTGTGATCTGGGAACACTTGAGTGAGAGAGCTACATTGTGATCTGGGAACACTTGAGTGAGAGAGCTACATTGTGACCTGGGAACACTTGAGTGAGAGACCTACATTGTGACCTGGGAACACTTGAATTTGCTTTTCTTCTATTGCCTGCAAAGAAGGCATTTAGCAGAAATGTCCTTTGTTTTGTTCTGTCTTCTTTAAAACCTAAAATTATCTTGCTCCACTATTTTATCTACTTCACACAACTTGAACACAGACCAACAGATATTGTTCCTCTCAGACTAGTGTGAAAAGTTTAGAATTCAATTATATACAAAACTGACTTATATACCAAATGCAAATGTTTATCCATGCAGTGTGCACTTTGTATTATCTGTTATGTGAGAAGTGAAGACCTACTACAATGTCCAATTCAAACTATAATTCATTTAAAATGAGATTGCCAACAAGCTACATTCAAATCTCTACTTGTAAGACACTTGATTAACCAAAGTTTTTTTGCAACTGAAACAGTATAGGCGGAAACAACAGACACACATATTTACCCATTATAGGCGGAAACAACAGACACACATATTTACCCATTATAGGCGGAAGCAACAGACACACATATTAACCCATTATAGGCGGAAACAACAGACACACATATTTACCCATTATAGGCAGAAGCAACAGACACACATATTTACCCATTATAGGCGGAAACAACAGACACACATATATACCCATTATAGATGGAAACAACAGACACACATATATACCCATTATAGAAGAAAACAACAGACACACCCATTATACATACTCATTATAGACAGAAACAACAGACACACATACATGCCTAGTATAGATGGATACAACATACAGAAACAAGCTTCCTCTATAAGGAAAGATGACAGATACTGAAGTATCAGTAGGTAAAGAAATAAATGGTGCGATAGTATAGAAGTCTACATCCTTTCATTTTTCGTTTCTCTTTATTTATTTCCTTACCAACCAAGAGTTCACTAACATGTGACAGATTTCTCTCAGACACAACCTACCAAGAGTTCACTAACATGTGACAGATTTCTCTCAGACACAACCTACCAACCAAGAGTTCACTAACATGTGACAGATTTCTCTCAGACACAACCTACCAACCAAGAGTTCACTAACATGTAACAGATTTCTCTCAGACACAACCTTGCAACCAAGAGTTCACTAACATGTGACAGATTTCTCTCAACCCAAGATTTAAACAAATTTAATTCTTTTTTTGGTACTAATTTTGTTGTTTTGACAAATCCTTGTTGCCAACATTTTTTTTATTTGTCATTCTCTTTCAAATGTCCCCTCCAGTGTATCTGATAAATCCACATGTTCAACATTAGAACTCTCCTCAAGAATCAAATAGGGAATTCTTGAATCCAATTATGCCAGACTTTTAAAATTTGCAATGAAACTTATGAAAGTACCTCTGTAAGTAAAAGGCTGGATATTCCAAAAGCTGTTGTAGAATTGATTTCATTTTTCTGCAGGATTTTGAGAATGGCAATCAAAACAGTGGTGCATCGCTGAATGCTGAGGTCACTAGAGTCAGCTGAAGCTGGTCACAAAAATATGGTTTTCAGACAATTCTCATTAAAATGAATTTCCCTAAATGAATGATTTAAGTAAGTTAAAATGAAAATTTTAACAATTTTTTAACTAAAGCTGAAACATAGTGGACATTTTCATTTATAATTGGCCCTGTCTTTAAATCATTATGTGTTTGATTCAGATGAAGTATCATGAAGTTAATTTATTGCCTGGTCTCATAATTTAGAAGTAATTATGCTAAACAACTTGTGGGACAAAAATTTCAATATTTTTAATGGGTTAATGAGGAAACGAAATGAGCCCATGTAAAATTGAAAAAAAAAGAATTAAAAAAAAAAAAAAAAAATTATAATCACCATCAAGAACAGACTTTATCAGCAGTATGGGATTAGAATTTGCCTTTAAAATACAGGTACTAACAGCTTCCAGCACCTATGCCTGGTCTAATAATTTAGAAGTAATTATGCTAAACAACTTGTGGGACAAAAATTTCAATATTTTTAATGGGTTAATGAGGAAAAGAAAAGAGCCCATGTAAAATTGAAAAAAAAAAAATTAAAAAAAAAAAAAAAAAATTATAATCACCATCAAGAACAGACTTTATCAGCAGTATGGGATTAGAATTTGCCTTTAAAATACAGGTACTAACAGCTTCCAGCACCTGCCAAAAAAATTAAAATACAACTAACATTTATTTGTAGTTTTTGTGCTCAAAACATAAAATTAATTTTCTTAATATTATTAACAAAATTTAAATTTCATTAGGTAACATTTAAAATGTGAAATAAATAAAGAAAGAAAATTTATTAAAAAGAGTTAGGCCTAAGTCATGCTACATAAACATTACCTCCTCTTTCTGCTTGGAGTCCAGAATTTTTTTAAATTCATCCAGTTTATGAGATTTTGAAGATGCTAAGATACTTATCTCCATCTATGCTTGTATAGGCAGTAGCCTACTGAGTTGGCTCTTTGGCTCTAAATCTGAAAATATAGACCAAGTTGTAGTATTCAACATTTTAAGAAAAGGCAAGTGCGTAATTAAGACTTTAGTGTCAGTAATTTACACTACACACAACAAAATTTATGAATGTTCAAGTTATATACTCCAATCTACCCCAACAATCTTAATAAAGTTTCAAAACATTTACTATATGGGTGTTTCCTCCCTGGATGCCATTTTCAGGAAGGAGGAAATTTGCTCCTATCCACCTCAGCAAAACATTTTAAAATCTTAAGTAGACTGATCTGATTCCCAAACAATGTTAAAATCTCTATTTAAAGTTATTTGAGGCAAATTATTAACTAAGTAGTCATATAATTATTATATTTCTTTTTATTTCTTTATTTAAATAGTAAAACTTAACATACTTTTTATAATATGCTTATTTAAAAGTTTTGCCTCAGCAGCTGGACACATATAGTAGTGTGGAAATAATCAAATATTAAAATAGTAGGGCTTATAATTGGTTTTTTTAGCTTGTAAAATTTGAATTACTTGTATGTAAGCCTTAGTGATTGTTGCTTAATGCTTAAACAGGCTAAAATTTTATGTATTCATTTTATTTTTTCAATTATTTCTTTTGTACATAAACTCTTTTTCTGTAGCAACCAACACTAAAAATTTATTTTAAAAAAAGGACATGTGGCTTTTTGGATTTAAAAATTTAACACAAAGATCAAGATAAAATGGTGGAAAAAATGACAATTACAGCATGCGTCTAGCAGCATGTTAATCTCTGTTGCCTAAAAGACTAAAGACTGATTGCAATGAATGTACATTTCTATAAAAAAATAATGCTACAATTAATAATTAGCAGAAACAATATAGACTTGAAAGAAAATTTAAATGTTATATCCAAGAAAGACTCAAGCATATACTATAATCTGTATATTGTACATTTTTTAATATGATTTTGATCTGGGAGATCTAAAAACTATTTAATTCTTTGAGGGACACATTGTGTAGGCCCTACTGGACCACCGCATTATAAGGCATCTGTTTCGATTATGTTATGATGATCACAGAAACATATGGTTTGTAATGTTTATCTTCATTAGTTCCTAAATTTCTTCAATTTACTGCTCTTTTTTAATATCTATCTCAACTCTCTGCCCAATTTTTATTTTTGTCCTTTTTATATTTTCCTGCATGTGTCAATAAACTGAGTTATTCCAAAATAATTCACGAAAAAAAAAAAATTTCTTTAGAATTTACCTACAATAAATTTGGTATCAATAAATAATGCTTTTTATATTGAGGCCCTATCTAACTAACTTGCTCTTAAAGCTATAGTTATAGCTATAACTATAGCTTCATTTTGAACATTTTGTCCAAGAGCCTATATTATATTTAAATTGAAACTGAAATATAGTAGACTAACACCAAGGATCTTAGGGACCGTCCATAAAGTGTGTCACGCTCTGGAGCGGAGGGGGTAAACTTAATAGTTTGATTTTAATAGCGAAGTGTGTTTTTATTAGTTTTTAATATTCAATCCTACACTTACACCCTACCTGCTGGTCTTTAAACAATTTGCAAACAGACAGTCCTACCCCCTACCTGCCAGCCTTTAAACAACAGCGTAGGCCTACCGACAGTCCTACACCATACCTGTGACTTTATTGATTAAATATAATGGTCGCCTCCCCCTAAAATATAAAATATACATCATTTTTACGGGAGTTCAGCATTCATGCAAAGAAACTGAAAGCTTGCTGCCTGAAAGATTTTTTTTTTACCCATTAGACTCATTAATATTAACATTAGTAAGTAAGTGTGGCCATTGCCATTACTATTATTAACTATTAATATAAAAATGTGCAGAAAGGAGGGGGGGGGGGTGTGAGAAGGAAACATGACACACTAGACGTAAGAAGCAAATAGTATGAAAGTATAAGAGATTATTTATGATTATTATTAGTAGTAATTATTACTAATTAAACTGCATTTTCCTTTTTTTTTTTAATAGTCAAGTGACGTCAGTGCTTACTTAAACTTATTATTATTAGATTAGACTGATTAGACTATCTAAACTATCTTAGTCTTAGTTACTACCACAGAAGCTGAACTAGCCAGCATAAGCCCCAAACGGTCAGCCAACTTCAATCAATTTAATTAGAACTAGTCGAAGCACAATTCTCAACCTCCATTTGTAGAAATAAAATAATAATTTTAACCTTTAAAAAAACAAAACCTTAAGTCTACCGATCCTCAAACGTAGTATAAATTCCTTTTAATGTATGTGTTGTAATTTAGCGCGATGAACATCTTGTTAAACATTGAATACAAATGAGCGTTGAAATCAGTGCTGCCATTCAGATTTTTCCAAATTCCCCAGGTTTGGTTAACTCAGTTGTTCTCAAAACGTATGGTACCACCCCCTTGAGGAAAGAGATGGTCCAGGGGTAACGAAAACCTTGGGAGATTTTTTGGGGTCTCTGGAACTCAGGAAGGGCGCTGGGATTTGATTAGGGGTTGTCGGATGGCCCTGTACTGAAATTGCAGATTTTGGGGTCTCTGGAGCTCACAAAGTGACATTGGGAATGTTGAAAATATCAAATTGCTAAGTTACTTCACAAGGAAGATAAACAAAAGCAGAGGCAATCGTCAAGGCTAGTTCAACGTTTTATTTTATGAGAACAACATGGAGCACAAATAGACAGCATAAAAACGTGACGTCAATACACAACAAACAATGAGACGTGCAAAACAATTTAGTAGTTTGTCATTTTCCAACTCTCCTTCTCAAAACACTAAATAAAAGTCAGTGGTTTCACACCAATCATGTCTCTGAGTATCTTGAATCTTTGCTGAGACAGTCCCTTAGTAAGGATATCAGCTATCATTTCTTCTGCTCTACAATATTTGAGAGTCACAGTCTTATTTCAACCTCCTCCCTGATCAAATGGTCTTTTATATCCACCTGTTTTGCTCTACCATGGAACTTTGGGTGTTTAGCCATAGTGATAGCTGATTGTTCTCAAATATAATAGTGGCAACATTTTGGTTACATCCCAAATTCAGATGTAAGCAGTTATCTCAGCCAAAGGGCCTCCTGTGCTGCACTTGAAAGTGCCATATATTCAGCTTCTGCTGTCGACAATGCCACACATGATTGTTTCGCACTTCTTTAGCTTATAGGTCCACTACCCACATGGAACACATAGCCAGACATGTCCACTACCCACATGGAACACAGAGCCAAACATGTCAACTACCCACATGGAACACAGAGCCAGATGTAGACTTTCGATTATCAATTCCCCCTGCCCAATCTGCATTACTATAGCCAACACATTCAGTAGAACCACTGTTGAAATACACAATTCCACAATTCGACGTACCCTTTAGGCATCTTAAAATTCGTTTTACCGCCGTCCAGTGTTGTTCTGATGTAAGCAATGTTAGGTCTGGTCCAAGTTGACAGATACAGTAGACTACCCACCGCTGATTGGTATAAAGTCCCTGATCGAAAAAATGTCCTTCTTATATCAACTTCACATCTGGATCAGTTGGAGTCGTTACGGGTTTAGAATCTAGCATTGCTAATCTTTCAAGGACTTTGTTTGTACAACCTGGCTGTCCTAGCCAGATATCATCTTCCTTTTGAGTGAACATTACATCCAAAAAGATTTCAATTCACCAAGATCTATTGCGTCAAGTTTGGATGAAATAACCTTGACACTTCTTGCAAGAATCCTTGTGTTCCTAACAGCTAATAAACGTCAATACTCTAGGAGGTCAAGATTCTATCTCTTAGGACCTCGGCCATGAAACATAGCCTAGTAGTCCCTGGGGACTCCGGCCATGCAACACGGTCTCGAGTAATAGGAGTGTTGGGCAGTTTGCTGCCACTCATGAGGGGACAGTTTTGCGTCACAGGCCCCCTTGCCCAATGAGTCTTGCGGTCTGGAGTTGGGTTGGAACGGCTTTGCTTCCTCTCTGGGGATG